CCCCACAAAAAGAGCTTTTTCCGTCTGTTTTTACACAAAAACATGCTTTCTAAAAGTTTATGGTGACTACAGTAAAGAAAGAAATTGAGCGGTCATCTTGGCACCTCAAGCCTGGGAGTTTCGGTACTCTGGGAACATTCAGTGACTCGCTAAAGGGTGGCGCTGTTATCGTATTTAGCTCGGTCTCGGGGGACGCCAACGACCCAGCTTTCAAGGATGACTTTCCCAGCTTAGTGTTTTAGTAACGTTGGTCATGACTAACCAGGTAGAGGGACTTAGAGCGATAAACTGTTATCCCGTTTACCAGCATAGCCTCCTCTATACGGAGACAGCCTGGCACGTCGCGAAAAAAAGTGGCCGCCGAAAGTAGGAGAGGAGGGGCGAGGAATCGGGAGCGGAGGCACGGGCGGAGGGAAGCTTGTCTGCTAGCGCCACACAAGTGCGAGCAGCCAAACGCAGAAACAGTCTTTTTTTTTTTTTCCTCTTTTCGGAATTGCGGAAAGGAGAAACTCAACGTCAACCCTTTCCTTTCGCCGTCCCTGCGTCCGCATGTTCGCGTCTCCGCAACGGTCCCGGTCGTCGCTTTCGTTTGCGCTGGAGGTCTCTTGCCTGAAAGCTTTCGTCTTCGCGACGCGCGCACGCACCTTCGTTTTCCGTCGCAGTTGGCCGCAGTGCTCGCTGGAACACGCCGAACTTTCATCCTGTAGCGCTGTTGCTTGTATCCTCGGCACCTGGGCGTCGAAACTACTTAGTCAAAACTTTTTGGTTCTTCCGCGGCACGAGACGATGGTCCGACGACGGCGCACTCTGCTGGCACACCGACAACTCTTCCGACGCCACCAGCATGGTGCATTGTTGCCAGCGCCCTTTCGAATCGCCGCAGCCGTTTCTCCCGGAGTACGAAAACGACGGCGACGAAAACACGAAAACAAACGTGGTTCGGGGGGCGGCCGCTCATGACCCAAGCGCTCGCAGACTATCTCTGCCCTTTCTGCTCTGCGCTACCATATTGGTCACCGCTTCGCGCGCTCCTCCTCTCCTTTTTTCTGCGGCCGCGCGCCCTGTGGCTCCGCCGTCGATGTGCCAGGCTTTCTCCGTATAGAGGAGGCTATGTCACCAGGCAAAATGACGACCACTTAGCCGCTGCCATGTTGTACAATTTTGACCAATAAAAACGTGACCGTACCAAATCCTCAGGTTTTACGCAAAACTGAGTCGAGATCTGTATTGTCATCGCTGTAAAAACATAATAAACTAGTTTTCAATACTGTTAGCCCCAGAGATCAGTGTCTTGTTCCGATAAAAACCCAAAATACAGCACCGCGGTTGATGGCATCTAGCGGAGGCATTGCGAAGCTGCCCGAGCTTTTGTCGTAAAAGCACATAACTTGCCTCGTGAGTACTGTTAATAAAGATCAATAAGCAATTGTTTGTGCGCGGTACTTCGTTAAAATTTAGACGTAAAACTATAAGGTCACGTGTCTAGTGGTCAAAAAATGAAAGCCTTTTACAACTAACTCCCTGTAACATCGAATTGGAGCGCAGCTCTTGAGGAGGAGGAGGGAAGGGTACTGATGGTCACCGGTTCTCGGGGCGGGGGGGGGGGGGGGGGGGGGGGGGGGGGGGTGTCGCGTGACCTCGGGGGGGGAGGGGGGGCGGGTCATGTGACTTTGGGGGTCACGCGACCCCCAGAAAAAGTTTTCCGCTAGGTTTAGCGGGGAATTTTGTCCGCTAGATTTACCGGGGAAAATTTTTCCGCTATGTTTAACGGGAAAAGTTTTCCGCTAGACAGCGGGGAATTTTTTCCGCTAAATCTAGCGGGGTGCTTTTTTCCGCTAGATTTAGCCCGGAATTTTTTCCGCTAGATCTAGCGGGGAAATTTTTCCGCTCGATTTAGCGGGGAAATTTTTCCGCTAAATCTAGCGGGGAATTTTTTCCGCTAGACTTAGCGGGGAATTTTTTCCGCTAGATTTAGCGGGGAAATTTTTCCGCTCGATTTAGCGGGTTCATTTTTCCGCTAGATTTAGCGGGGCATTTTTCCCGCTAAATTTAGCGGAGAAACTTTTCCGCTAAATCTAGCGGAGAAATTTTTCCGCTAGATTTAGCGGAGAAATTTTTCCGCTAGATTTAGCGGGAAAATGTTTCCGCTAGATTTAGCGGGGAATTTTTTCCGCTAAATCTAGCGGGGAAAATTTTTCCGCTTATTTAGCGGGGAAATTTTTCCGCTAAATCTAGCGGGGAAATGTTTCCGCTAGATTTAGCGGGGAAATTTTTCCGCTAGATTTAGTGGGGAAATTTTTCCGCTAGATTTAGCGGGGGAATTTTTCCGCTAGATTTAGCGGGGAATTTTTTCCGCTAAATCTAGCGGGGGAAAATTTTCCGCTAGATTTAGCGGGGGAAATTTACCCATAATGCACCGCGCAGTTACGCCGACGGCGACGGCGACGCCGGCGCCACTCAAGCCGGAAACGGGCCCCTAAGAGCTGCGCTCTAAAACAAAATAACGCAATATGTTACCTTAATTTCCACCATGGCGCAAGGCCATCCGACGTCAGTGTAACAGACGACGTCCCTGGGCGGAACGCAGATCGCCCCGTTCGATTCACTCATTCCGTAAATATACCTCAGGCTCCGAAGGTTCCCGAAGGTGCTCAAGGACAGCTCTGCCAACTGCACCGAGAGCACGCCACCGCCGACACCGATGTGCAGCAAGGTGTTCAGCCTCCGGTCGGCGGACCGAGCGTACTGCACCAGGTTCCCAAGGCGCGTCGGAAAACAGGTCAGAGCCGTTACCTGCAAGACGGGAGCCGAGAAAAGTCTCATCGAGTCGTGGTCAGACTGCTGACATGTCGTACGAAAGACACCCTGCAGAAACTACCGAATTTAGGGAACCGTTTTTGCACGCCCGATACGGTACCATGTGCCGTCCGGTACGAACAACGCATATGCGAGTCTTCTGCGGTAGCGCATGCGCAGTACGTACCGGAAGACCCATCGTATTGTATCGGACCTGCAAAACCAGCTACACAAAAGTCTCTACTGTCTGAGGCGTGTGTCCTTCTTGTGTGACGCTCCCGCCACATTGGTCATTCAAAAAGTGTCTCCAAATGTGCTGGAGGCACACGTGTGTATGAAGTAAACTCGGTTCGAACAAGTCTAAAGCGCGCCCGCAGATAATGCTGTCGCAATATCTGCAGCGAACAGCGTATCTTTTGTATGACGTATGAGCAATGTGTTGCCGGCTTCGAGGCTGGCCCAAACATCTCTGAGGCTGACCGCGTGCGTTGTTCCCGCTTGTGGCCGCTTACGACGAGAGCTGGCGCACCAACGAGGAAGCCCTGGAACACCTACGATGAGCGTGTTTCCTAGTTCTTAGACATTCCATCGTAAGCTCAAAATGACCTCGACAAGGTCAAAGCCGACCCTTTGGCGGAAGTAGCGAGTAGATTTAATACTCACGAAAACTCCGAAACGTTTAGTCTATAATACGGAGACCGGAAAAATTCCAGAACTGCCAGGTAGTTGGCGTACGTTCTCTCGACAAGAGCGGTTACAAGCGGGCACGAGGCACGCGGCCACACCCCGCAGCTGTACTACTCCCAGTCAGGGCGATTGGGCTTACCTGACGGTGATTTTGGAAAGATATTTTCTGGATAGGAGAAAAAATGGGTCGCAAATTGCCCTGCAATTGTGTTTCTACGTGAAATCTTCTCAATTACCCTTAGCGAAAAGTCGTTCAAAATCAGTACACTCGAAGTGTACTGAAGTATACTAAAAGTATACTTTCAGTGCGGTCTTTGTACTGATTGTATACTTTAAGTGTACTTAAAGTATACTTCCAGTAAAAATGGCGGTGGACTGAAAGTATACTCGTCCGTACAAAACTAGTACATGTAGTAGAATCGTAGTGCCCGCGGTAAAAAGTAGTTCAAAATCAGTATACAGGAAGTGCACTTAAGTATACTAAAGGTGTACTTTCAGTGCTTGCAGTCGGCGTACTCAAATTATAATAACGGGTATATATATATATATATATATATATATATATATATATATATATATAGTGCGATTTTTAACATCAACACACTAAAAACGCGATAGATAGGCCGATGCCGTTTTCACAGATTATTTGTGGGGCTCGGTGGACATTAGAGGAGTAAATAAACGTCATATACGTTGTCTAATTAGCTTTCTTAATTGACAGTGTAATTGACCATGTTGAATTTTCAATTTTAAAGGGGCTATGAATAAACTCTAGCCCAACTGAAACAATTTGCGAAAAGGTGACGAGTTTTGGGTTATTCATAGCTAAAACTCTGCCTTTCGTCGCCTGATTAAAAACAGCGCACTGGACAGAGCGCAGGATGCTATTCTTATGTATTCCCTTCAGTCGAACCGTTGGAAGTATGATGCTGGAGCATCCACCAAAGGCACGCTTTCAAAAGAGTGCAACTTCGTTCATGCTGAATGCGACAGCACTTTATGAGGGTTGTAACTTCACTAGAAAATTAAATAATGCATAGAACTTCAGTAGGGGAAGTTCTCGCTAACACAAACAAACATGCCATCACCGATATGCCATGTCAAAACCGCTAATTTCACTCTCCGCTTTGCCCGCCCCTGCCGCGCGTGGTTCTTGAATCGAGAGAAAAAGTGCGAAATTTGATAAATAAATATCTTAAAGCCCCTTGCTGTTTCGTGAATAGTTTTGATTGCGTTAGGCTCCAATAACGACTGCCTCTAAAACAGCAATTATAAAAAAAAAGTAAATTTACGGATTTTAATTACTTAAAAAGATGTTGCCACGGTTATTCACCCATGTAATGTCCGCCGAGTCGCACGACACACATGAAAAGTGCATCAACATGACATGAGCCCCCAGTTTTCCTAAAACCAGTTGATTAAAAAATATCACCGGGTATAGCTGACATAATGTGACAAAGGGATGCTTCATTTCTTATTTCAGTGCAGACCACGTGGTCCAAAAGTTCCCCGGGGAAACGACCGGCATAGTCATAGCATACTTACGTTGCAAATGCAACATGGACTTACGCCTAAAAAAAAGCACAAATAGAAAAATTAGCTACATTGTACGCCACGGAAAGTAGCGTTATCTAACTTGTCAATAATTATTTTAGCTAGTCATTTCTACTATACTTATCAATTGAACAGTCTACTTTTATTGCAAAGATAGCTTTTATTTTCCCTGAGCTGTGTTTGTTACCTTTATTGAAGAATAAAAGTTTACTGTAAAAAAACTGTTAGCACTATTCGGAAGCTGGGCGATCGAGGGCAATCGCATTAAGTGTTTGATGCTGCTGATGAAAAAGCATGCACATGACTTTGTTTTCAAAGTGCACCGCCACTTGCGTGCTGCCTCATAGGCTAGTAGACAAATTACGTTTCTAGGATAATCCGGTGTTTTTGTAATGCAGGTCTCAGCGTACTATACGCTGTTTCAGATATCTGCATCCACAGCAATCAAAAGGACAGGAGGCAAAAGAAACCACGGCTAATAATGGGGACATAAGATCCTCCACCTTGCATGGTCGCATGCAGCGCAAATCAACTTCCGAACTGCGTAAGCGAAGTGATGTTATGAATGGAAGCTCGCTCTGAAATTGGCTGGAGAAATCGGCGCCTTTATGTAACAACCTCAAGCTTTCACCAAAAGTGTTTCATGGTGTAGATTTATCTTGCAAAACTCTAAGACATCTCAATTCACGTGAAAAGAGATTGACAATTGCAACAACGACCAACACCGTCGATCGAGATTTCCACACTGTAAAAAATCGACGTAAATTTAACGTGTCTTTCCCTCGTCAAAAAAGACGGGCACGCTCATTGTTTCAAAACAAGAGGTTGCCCTCATTATTTATGTGCCGCGAGAGCCGATCCTTCCACAAAAGCCGAAATACCAGCGGTGCAAGCATCCGCTGATGAATCAAAATAGCCTTGGCGACAAGGGATAAATTGCTTGAGATAGTTTCGGTTTTACACTGAAAAAGAAAACCGAAAGTTTAGATAAAACCTAAGATAGACTAAACGTTTTGTTAATATTTTACGAATATAATAAAGTGACATTATTATTATTAATATATTGATTTGCTTAGTTTTGTCTTAAAAAAAAAAAAAAAGAACAAAAAGAAGAGACTTTTGAAAACTGCGCAAGACCATCGCTATTGCAATCAGCTTCCGTTCGGCCGCCGTTGGATTTCGGAGAGTTCGAGCATCGCTTCCTTTTTACGTTTTAGCCGTTTTTGCGGATATTTTAGATATCTTCCTTACGAATACCGTGTTCAACAATAGCAAGCGATTACTGAGAGCTGTGAGACACAGCGTTGAGAGCTGTGAGACACAGCGTTGAGAGCTGTGAGACACAGCGTCGCAAGTGGCGGACAGTCATGGCCGACTGGTGCAAGCGAAGGTGAGGAAGTTCCTTTTGTTTCTGCGAAGTGCGCCGCTGTTTCAAACTTTGTCTTGTACCGTGTGCTTGCTAAGCTATGCTTGACTCTTACTACGCTATACCCGGTTTTATTTCGTTATTTGAAAAGAACGTATCTTCAAAATTTATGCCTCTCTCCGCAGAGTGAGAAAGATTCGCGTGCGGCGGAACCGAGGGCCAGCCGCAGGCCTGTCCTGGGCGCCGTGCCTACCACGGTCGCCCGACGACGCTTTTGCGGAGCGTTCAAGTACAGTCTGACGGCAGTTCAAGCAATCACAGGTCATGCTAGTTCTGAGGTGTGGTTCCAACAGTCTCTCGTCAACGATTTGTTTCATAAAGCGGGAGCGCGAAAAACGTTACAAGAGCGAGCAGCATGATTTCTTGCCCGTGCTGATGCCTGTGCCGTAGAGACGGACGATCTCTTTGCGTATGGCGAAGCGGCACGCTTTCCAAGTTTGCGATTTTGTGTTGTGAATAAAGTGAGTTTGGATGTCACGTTTTTTAGTGGCGGCGAAAGCCGCTACAAAAGTCAGAGCAGTTAGAAAAAGCAAAAGCATGAAAAAAATGTTAAAAGGACCTGAATATTCGATGGAGTTGAAAGACTACCAACGTACCAACTCGCCCAGTTATTCTTCGTCAAAGAATAATAGCCAATACTAATAAATTAAATAAATGCAAACTTTTAATTGGTTAAAAATGTATAATTGATGCAGTACAGCCCTACCCTGCTCTAGTGCTTTTATGATATCAGATAATATGTAAATATATAGGATAGTTCACAGCAACCATTTATGTCCGACCCATTATATTGAATCTTTTCTCTAAAAGCTCGAAGTTATATAAAAAAAAGTACTTATCATAAATTAAGCCGCACCACTGAATGTGTAATAGCGTATGACTTGTATCTGTGTTCACAGCAAAAGAAAAGGAGGCATTAAGAAAATGCCAATCATTTTGTTTACTATGTGTTAGAGCTTCTTTCAGGTATCAGGTTTTCAGAAACGATATTGTCCGATTTTCCTCGCCCTTTTGTCAGGATGAAGTTGTTACTATCTTGCCTTCCTCACATAGTGGTCCTTTGAGCGAATTATGTGATGTTATATCATAGAGTGGCATAGGGTAATTTTCTCTTCTCTTTTTACGCAGGATGTAATAGCATACCGTCATCACAAACGAGAGTGTACAGTGAGGCATGCTCGGAAACTTGAATAAAGTGATAAGTAGGATTTCAATTTCTGTCTTCTCAATTACTCGAAGAACACTGATCATAATGTTTGTAGGCTACATATACATACTTTCAGTTGAAAAATGCAATGCACCTCTTCTTTATGGCTTTTCTCACACAGTT